TTTCATTAAGAGAGAAACAGTTGTCCTTTTACACCTTAAACTTTGGCAATAACTCTAAATGCTGTTGCTTCAGACTGTCTAGCAGAGGTTGGTATCTAAACCCTTCCTACAAGTCATTCAGGCTTTCAAGGCCAGGCCCAAGAAACCATAGATGATAGATAGATTACATAGACAGATAGACTGATGGCAGATAAGGTGGTAGGTAGATAACAACATTATATTATCTCAGCATAAGTATTTTTAAAATTTTATTCAACTTAATTAATTAATTAATTTTAATTTTTCCAGAGAGGGACAGAGTGAGAAAGAGAGAAAGAGAAAGTGAGAAAGCAATCCACTAGGTCCGGGACTTGAACCACAGTTGACCATATGGGAGTCCAGCGCCCTTAACCACCATGCCTCCTGCCGGCTCCTCAGCATAAGTTTTGATCTAAGGGAAAACTATTGCCTTATAGCCGAGTTTATTTAGTCAACTGTTCAAGTCTGTATATTTCTATCATGAGATAAGCAGAGATAGACCCTTGACAGGGTCTTACCACACAGCAATCCTCCCCCTGCCTCTGAGCCAGCCAGGCTGTTCAGGCCCACCCTAGATCTGAACGCAGGCATCCTAAGTATCACACGGCAGTGCCTACTGCCTGTGCCACTGTGAGTGGGCCTTAGTCAGCTGGTTTTTGTTTTGTTGTTTTGATTTGTTAGAGGGTGTGTGTGCTCACGAGAGGGAGAGAGAGAAAGAGAGAGGCAGAGAAGGGGAAAGTCAAAGAAAGAAAAAAAAAACATGGGGAATGGTTACATCACAGTCCCTTCTCCATCTTTTCCCCACTTTAGGATTTGGGGCACTCACTTGCACACACCTGGTGTGTTTTTCTTATCTATTTTAGTTTTTTTTGCCATAGAGCATGTGTGCTGGCTAGAGACAGATGGAGAGAGATGGAGAGAGGGAAAATGAGAAATCGGCTCCCAGGGCAGATGGCCACATTGCAATTCCTTTTCCTTCATTCTCCTCTTGGGATTTTGGGCACACATGACCAGGATGATTTTCAAACCTCTAGGTCTGGGACTCAAACTGCAGTCAGCCACGTGGGAATCCAGTGCCTTAACCACCACACCACCTGCTGGCCCTAACCTGGTGTGCTTTTGAAGCGGCCAGATATGAAACTAAAACTGTACAGTCATGTAGGCTCTAGCTCCTTAACCACCAGGCCACAGACTGGCCCCATCAACTGTTTTTTGTTTTAGATTCTTGCTGTAAGGTGCATGTGCTCACTAGAGAGAGACAGAAAGAGAGAAAGAGAACGAGAAATCACCCTCCAGAGTGGGTGGCCACATCAGTATCTCTTCTCCTCCTTTGACCTCTTGGAATTTTGGGTACACATACAAATGTGACTGGCATGAGTTGTCCTTTTACACCTTAAACTTTGGCAATAACTCTAAATGCTGTTGCTTCAGACTGTCTAGCAGAGGTTGGTATCTAAACCCTTCCTACAAGTCATTCAGGCTTTCAAGGCCAGGCCCAAGAAACCATAGATGATAGATAGATTACATAGACAGATAGACTGATGGCAGATAAGGTGGTAGGTAGATAACAACATTATATTATCTCAGCATAAGTATTTTTAAAATTTTATTCAACTTAATTAATTAATTAATTTTAATTTTTCCAGAGAGGGACAGAGTGAGAAAGAGAGAAAGAGAAAGTGAGAAAGCAATCCACTAGGTCCGGGACTTGAACCACAGTTGACCATATGGGAGTCCAGCGCCCTTAACCACCATGCCTCCTGCCGGCTCCTCAGCATAAGTTTTGATCTAAGGGAAAACTATTGCCTTATAGCCGAGTTTATTTAGTCAACTGTTCAAGTCTGTATATTTCTATCATGAGATAAGCAGAGATAGACCCTTGACAGGGTCTTACCACACAGCAATCCTCCCCCTGCCTCTGAGCCAGCCAGGCTGTTCAGGCCCACCCTAGATCTGAACGCAGGCATCCTAAGTATCACACGGCAGTGCCTACTGCCTGTGCCACTGTGAGTGGGCCTTAGTCAGCTGGTTTTTGTTTTGTTGTTTTGATTTGTTAGAGGGTGTGTGTGCTCACGAGAGGGAGAGAGAGAAAGAGAGAGGCAGAGAAGGGGAAAGTCAAAGAAAGAAAAAAAAAACATGGGGAATGGTTACATCACAGTCCCTTCTCCATCTTTTCCCCACTTTAGGATTTGGGGCACTCACTTGCACACACCTGGTGTGTTTTTCTTATCTATTTTAGTTTTTTTTGCCATAGAGCATGTGTGCTGGCTAGAGACAGATGGAGAGAGATGGAGAGAGGGAAAATGAGAAATCGGCTCCCAGGGCAGATGGCCACATTGCAATTCCTTTTCCTTCATTCTCCTCTTGGGATTTTGGGCACACATGACCAGGATGATTTTCAAACCTCTAGGTCTGGGACTCAAACTGCAGTCAGCCACGTGGGAATCCAGTGCCTTAACCACCACACCACCTGCTGGCCCTAACCTGGTGTGCTTTTGAAGCGGCCAGATATGAAACTAAAACTGTACAGTCATGTAGGCTCTAGCTCCTTAACCACCAGGCCACAGACTGGCCCCATCAACTGTTTTTTGTTTTAGATTCTTGCTGTAAGGTGCATGTGCTCACTAGAGAGAGACAGAAAGAGAGAAAGAGAACGAGAAATCACCCTCCAGAGTGGGTGGCCACATCAGTATCTCTTCTCCTCCTTTGACCTCTTGGAATTTTGGGTACACATACAAATGTGACTGGCATGATTCTCAAGTCACTAGGTATGGGCCACCTGTCAGCCCCCAGCCCCACTGCCTTGAAACTCACACCAAACATGTGTGCGTGACTTGAATCGTGGTCTGCCACGTGGGAGTCCAGTGATGTAACCACTACGCCACCTGCTGGACCCCAGCTCATAGTCCTTAATCTGGAGACTCCAGACACTGGGATATGCATGGTTGGACCTTTAAGAGGGCCACAAATCCCTAAAGTTATATAGATAATTGTGTGTATTCACACACACGCACACACACACATATATTTATATTTTTTCCCTGAAGAGAGGGTATAGACTTTCATCAGATTTTCAAACATGTCTATAATCTATATAAAGAACCATGACAATAGAGCAATTTCACAGAGGAGAATAGATAAGTTATGAATAAAATATTAATGAAATAAAGCCAGCAATGTATTAAAAACCGCTATAGCACAACCTAGAAGGTTTTACACAAGTAATCTGAAATAGTCAATACAAGGAAATATATTTACACTAGTAATCCCTGAATGTGGAAAATGTAAAATGTAATGGTTTTCATGTTGTTTTTTGAGATCAACATAAAAAAATGGGAACAATAAAAAACAATTACAACAAATATTTAGTAAGGAGGCCAGGTAAAGGAACAGCTTTTCCAGAGTCCCAGAATTAATCAGAAGATTTCTATTTTTTGAAAAAGAATTATATATTTATTTAATTTATTATTATTATTATTATTTAATTTGCTATAGGGAACGTGCACTCACCAAAGAGAGACAAAGAAAGAGGGAGAGAAAAAGCAAGCTACCAGATCTGGTACTTGAACCGCAGTCAGCCATGTGGGAGTCCAGCACCGCAATCACCACGCACCTGCTGACTCCAGATTTCTTTTTAAGTTTGCCAGAGGATGTGTTTGCACTCACTGGAGAGACAGAGAAGATACCCCCATGGGGAAAGGCCATGTAGCAACCTCTTCTCCATTTGTCCATCTTTTGGAATTTGGGGCATGCATGCACAAGCACCTGGTATTCCTCAAGCCACTAGATGATGTACTCAAACCACATAGTTAGCCATGTGGGATTAAGCCCCTTAACCACCATGCCACAGGCTGGCCCAAAGATTTTCTTTAAAATTGCCAGAAGGTGCATGTGGTTGTCAGAGAGAGAGAGAGACAAGAGAGGAAGTATCCACCTCCAACGCAGTGTAGTCACATCAAAATCCTTTTTCCTCCACTTCTTTTTCCTATTAGAATTTTGAGAACATGAACACACACATCTAGTATATTTTTCAAGCTGCCCAGACTGGGATTTGAACCACAGTTGGCCATGTGGGATCTGACTCCCATATACTGTGCTTAATTGCTATGCTATAGTTCCAGCTCCAGATAATTTTTTTAAAAAATATTTCATTCACAGTAGCAATATAAGCTACAAAATGCCTAGGAATAAACTTAAGGCTTTTGCAAGATTTATGTCGGTTAACCCTGAAACTTTACTGAAGGACTTTGTATTACTTTTTTAGGACTGCCTATCAGATCACCACAAATTGAGTTGCTTTAAAAAAAAAAAAAAAAAGAGCCAGCATGGGACCAACCGTTGGTGTGGGTTAAGGTGCTGGACACTCCCACATGGCCAACCATGGTTTGAGTCCTGGACCTGGCGGCTTGCTTTCTCACTTTCCTTCTCTCTCTCTCTGGCCAAATTAAAAATAAATGAATGCAGAGAGCTGACATCTTGTGGCTGTGTCAGGCGCATGAGCCCTGTAGGGCGGGGGAGGCACCAGCTGCCTCGCCGGGAGGAGACCGAGGCCGCTGCTTGAGGGAGGCCCCGACCCCTGTGTGCCAGTGTCTGGCAGAGCCAGTGTGAGAGGAAGAGACAATTTCCCCGCCAACAGGATAATCAAGAGTTTTGGGGACCAGCAGTTGGCATAAAGGCTATGTCGCCGGACTCCCATGTAGTCAACTGCAATTCAAGTCCCGGACCCAGTGACTTAAACTCACACCGGGCGTGTGTGCGTGCATGCCCAAGATCCCGAGAGGAGAATGGAGAAGAAAGGATTCCGGCGTGGCCATCACCCTTGGTGGTGGTGGTGGTGGGGGGTGATTTCTCGCTTTCTGTCTCTCTGTCTCTCTCTGTCTGTCTGGAGAGCGTACGCATCCTATAGCAAAAACCTCTCCAAAACCAACAACAACAAGAGTTTTGGCCAGACCTTTGCGAGTACACCGAGATAAGTGAGGAGGCCGACTAAAAGCACAGACTATGGCGCTGAAACGGATTAATAAGGAATTTAGTGATTTGACCCGTGACCCTCCAGCACAGTGTTCCACAGGTCCAGCTAGGGCTGATATGTTTCATTGGCAAGCCACAATTATGGGACCTAATAACAGCCCAAATCAAGGCGGTGCATTCTTTTTGACAATTCATTTTCCTACAGACTACCCCTTCAAACCACTTAAGGTTGCATTTACAACAAGAATTTATCATCCAAATATTAACAGTAATGGCAGCATTTGTCTTGATATTCTAAGATCACAGTGGTCTCCTGCTCTATTTCTAAAGTTCTTTTATCTGTTTTTTTCACTGCTATGTGACCCAAACGCAGATGACCCCCTAGTGCCAGAGATTGCACGGGTCTATAAAACAGATAGAGATAAGTACAACAGAACATCTCGGGAATGGACTCAGACGTATGCCATGTGATACTACCTTAAAGTCAGAATAACTCGCATTATAGCTGGAATAAACTTTTAAATTACTCTTCCCTTTTTGATTTTCTTATCCGACTGCTCCCTTATCAGACCTCATCTTTTTTCATTTTATTTTTTTGTTTACCTCCCTGTATTCATTCACATGCTTATCTGAGAAGACTTGTTCTTCCAGCTTTGGACAATAACTGCTTTTAGAAACTGTAGTTACAAGAAAACAATTGCCCAAGATTCAGAATTTTTTTAAAAAAATGGAGCATGTGTATTATGTGGCCAATGTCCTCACTCTAACTTGGTTATGAGACTGAAACCATTCCTCACCGCTCTAACAGGCTGAAGAGACCATCTGAGGGGGCGGGGGATGGACACGCAGTTGCCACATCAGAGGAAGCAGCATTATTCTAGCAGCAGCCATTCTTGGTTAAGCCTTCCACTGTTACAGATTTGAGGTTACAGGATATACTTCACGCTCATAACTTACGTGGGTGGAGAGAACTGGTATTGAATTTATAGCGTCGGCAGAACAGAAAATGTGATGTATTTTATACATGTCAGTAAAGGAATGGCCTGTTCTTGTTCTACAGAGAATGGAAATTGGAAGTCAAACACTTCTTGATTTTCTAATTTTCATTTAAATTGTTAGGAGGCTTGGAGCTATTAGTTAATCTATCTTCCAATACACTGTTTAATATAGCACTGAGTAAATGATGCAAGTTGTCAATGGATGAGTGATTGACAAATAGCTCTGCTAGTAATTGATTTATTTTTCTTCAATAAAGTTGCATAAACCAAAAAAAAAGAATACATAAATAAAAATTAAATAAATAATTTTAAATAATAATTTAGAAAAAGAGCCAGCAGGTGGCATGGAGGTTTAAGGTGGCTAGATCCATCATGGTGGCCTCCGCTGTTCTGTCCTGGACCTGGCAGTTTGACAAAAACATTGGGCTCATGTATTACCAAAATTCAGAAAAGAGAATAGAGGAGAAGGGATTTCTGTGTGGCCTCACTCTCCTCTCCTTCTCTTTCTTTCTCTCTCTCTCTCTCTATCAAGCACTTGCATCCTAAAGCCAAAAAAAAAAAAGAAAAAGAAAGAAAGAAAGAAAGAAAAGAAAGAAAGAAAGAAAGAAAGAAAGAAAGAAAGAAAGAAAAGAAAGAAAGAAAGAAAGAAAGAAAGAAAGAAAGAAAGAAAGAAAGAAAGAAAATAAAAAGAAAGAGGACAGCATGAAAACAATCAAAAGAAAGCCTATCAGGTGGCATATGCATATGGGTTAAAGAAATAAAGAAAATTAATTTAAAGGGGCTGGTAGGTGGTGTGGTGGTTAAGGTGCTGGAATCTCACATGACCAAGGTTCAAGTCCTGGACCTGGAGACTTGCTTTCTCACTTTCCTTTTCTCTCTTTCTGTGCCTCTCTGTGGTAAAATTAAAAATAAATAATAATAACAAACAAAATTAAGTAAAATAAATAAATAAATTGGGACCAGCAGGTGGCATGGTGGTTAAAGTGCTGGAATTCCCACATGATGGACTGCAGTTCAAGTCCTGGACCTGGTGATTTGCTTTCTCACTCTCTCGCTGTCTGTCTTCCTCTGGCAAAACTCATATGAAAAAAGAAAGAAAGAAAGACTTCTTTTTAAAATAAGTAAATCTTAAAAAAAAAAAAAAAAAGAAAATTAACTTAAAGAAATTAGAGGAAAAAGAAGGAGCCAGCAGGTGGCATGGTGGGCTGTCTGTCTTCCTCTGGCAAAACTCATATGAAAAAAGAAAGAAAGAAAGACTTCTTTTTAAAATAAGTAAATCTTAAAAAAAAAAAAAAAAAGAAAATTAACTTAAAGAAATTAGAGGAAAAAGAAGGAGCCAGCAGGTGGCATGGTGGTTAAGGTCCTAGACCCCCACATGGGTGACCATGGTTCGAATCACAGACCTGGTGGCTTGCTTTCTCACTTTCCTTCTCTCTTTCTGTCCCTTTCTGGTCAAATTAAATAAGTAAATAAATAAGTAAAGCTAAACAAAATAAGTATTTTTAAAAAATACAACTCTTTAAGTAAAAGTGCATTTTTAGCCAAGGATTATTGCTACAGATAAGGAAGAACATTTCATAATAATAAAATGGTTGCTTTCAATAGGAAGACTCCACAATTTTAAATTTATATGGATGTAATAATATAACTTTAAAATATATAAAACATTAATAATGAGCTAAGCTGGGAACCAGCAGTTAGCGTAATGGCTATGTCGCTGGACTCCCACGTAATCGACCGCGGTTCGCGTCTTGGACCCAGTGGCTTAAATCTCACGCCGGGCGCGTGTGCGTGCGTGCCCAAGATCCCGAGAGGAGAATGGAGGAGAAGGGATTGCGGCATGACCATCCCCCTTGGGGGGGGATTTCTCGCTTTCTGTCTCTATGTCTCTCTCTGTCTGTCTGGCGAGCGCACGCACCCTATAGCAAAAAACCTCTCCAAAAAAAAAAAATAATAATAATGAGCTAAGCTAAAAGCAAAAATAGGTAAGTCCACTATAATAATTGAAGGTTTTATCATCTGCATAGGGCATATGTACCTGCCAGAGAGACAGAGAGAAAGAGAGAGAGAAAGTGAGAAAGCACTCCTCAGTGGGGATGATCATGCCACAGTCCCTTCTCCTCCATTCTCCTCTTGAGATATTGAGCATGCATACACACAGGCCTGGAGTGGTTCTCGAGCTCTGGAATCTGGGACTCAGACAGTTCAGCCAGCCATGTATCCATCTTAACCACCTCACCTCCGAGTGGTCCTATAACTGAAGGTCTTAACACACATCTCCTGGTAACTTTTAAAGACTAGAAGATGTAAAGTCAATAAGGATATATTTAAACAACGCTATTAACCAACTTGACCAAATTGATATTTACAGAAAGAACTATACCCTGGCAAGTCTGTGGGGAGGTGGTTGGGGCATCTGGATCCCACGTGCCAGCTGAGAAGCTCAAATCTAGACCTGGCAGCTTGAAAAACCAACCAACCAACCAACCAACCAACCACTGGCTATGGCTGTGTGGGTGCCCCAAATCCTGAAGGGTGGAGGAATGAAGAAGAAGGGATTATGATGTGACCATCCTTCATGGGGCATGCTTTCTTACTTTTCCTCTCTCTCTTTCTGTCTCTCTGTCTCTTGTTAGTAAGTACATGCACTCTCTGGGAAAAAAAAGAACTTTATATCCAACTATCATACACACTGTTCTCTGATGCATGTAAAAAATACATCACATGCTGGGTCATAAAGCAAATATCAGAAATTTTCAAAAGAACTGAAATCATACATAGTATATTCACTGACGATTAGCAACCAACACAGAAAGAATTGTAGAAAATTCCAAAACGTAAAAATGAAGGAACGTACTTCTAAACGACCTATAGGTCAAAGAGGAAATCACAAAGGAAATTAGAAAACATTTTGAACTGAAGAATAATGAAAGTAAAATATCAAAATTTGTGAGATGCAGCTAAAGCAGAGCTTAGGAAGAAATTTACGGCTTTTAATGACTGCAGTCGAAAGTGAGAGTGGTTCCTAAAAAAGAAAAAAAAAAGGGGGGGGGACCAGCAGTTAGCATAATGGCTATGTTGCTGGACTCCCATGTCGTCCACCGTGGTTTGCGTCCCGGGCCCGGTGGCTTAAAACTCATGCCGGGTGCGTGTTGTGCGTGCCCAAGATCCCAAGAGGAGAATGGAGGAGAAGGGATTGTGGTGTGGCCATCTGCCCTGGGGGGTGGTTTTTGCTTTCTGTCTCTCTGTCTCTCTGTCTGTCTCTGTCTGGCAAGCGCACGCGCCCTATAGCAAAAACCTAAAAAAAAAAAGAAAGTGAGAGTGGTTGAAAATCGACCTTATAAGCTTTTGTTTTATGAAACTCAAAAAAGAAGAGCAAATAAAACTCAAAGCAGCCAATGGCTGACCTAATGGTTATGTCTTTGGACTCTCATGTAGACGACCACAGTTTGAATCCAGGACCTGGCGACTTAAAAACTCATGTTGGGTGCCTGAGCATGCATGCCCAGGATCCTGAGAGTAGAAGGGACTGTGATGTGGCCATCCCCCCTGGAGGATGATTACTCCCTTTCTGTCTCTCTGTCTCCCTGGCGAGGGCACATGCCCTATAGCAAAAATCTCTCAAAAAAAAAAAAAGGCAGAAGAAAATCAGTGCACTAATAAATTAAGTAGATAGTATATACAGTAAGGAAAATCATCATAGTCTAATATTTGTTCTTTAAATAAGCTATCAAAATCTATAATCTAGCAAGAATAATCAATAAAAGAGAAAACATGGGCCAGCAGGTGGCATGGTGGTTAGGGGCACACGTGGCTGACCGCGGTTTGAAAATCAGACCTGGTGGCTTGCTTTCGGACTTTCCCCCTCTCTCTCTCTTTCTCACTTGCTCTGACTCTGTCTCTCATTTGGCAAATAAAACAAATAAAGTTAAATAGAATAATTCTTAATAAAAAATAAAAGAAAACTCAAATGATCAATATTAGGAGTTTTTTGGGCCAGCAGGTAGCATGGTAGTTAAGGCGCTGGATTCCCACATGGGTGACCACAGTTCAAGTCCTGGACTTGGTGGCTTGTTTTCTCTCTCCTTCTCCTCTCTCTCGCTGTCTTTCTGGTCTAACTGACAAATAATAATAAATAAAGTTAGATAAATAATTCTTTAAAATATATATATTAGAAGTTTTTAAAAAATTAATTTATTTTTATTATTATCATTATTGTTGTTTAATTTGCTATACGGCATGTGCACTCACCAGAGAGAGAAAGAGGGAAAATAAGAAAACAAGCCACCAAGTCTGGTATTCAAACTGCAGTCACCTTAACTATCACACCTGCTGGCCCAATATTAGGATTTTTAAAAGATGATATCACTACATATTCTACAGAAGAGTTTTTTTTTTTTTTTTTTGAGAGGTTTTTTCTTTAGGGCATGTGTGCTCCCCAGAAAGAGAAAGAGACAGAAAGTGAGAAATCAC